AAGAAGTAAGGAAACTTAATATATAGTAGAACTGGATCTTTTTCAAATGTAGTACCTTCTTAGGTTTTCTATTGGAACTCCCTTTGTATTATAAAATAGAAATTCCACGTTAGAGGATATTTTGTATCAGGCTCTGGAGGTAAATATTTTTCAATATAGTAAAGAAAGAAGTAGGGAAACTTAACACTTTATCTACCGGGCTATTTAGAAACAGTCTATAATTTAAAAAGAATTTTCTACAGTAGCATATGCCAATTTAGTTGTCGCAAATTAAACTTGAACTTTAAGCCTTGGAATTGTCCGTGGTAATAAGAAGAAAAGTGAAGGCGAAACGGCAGAGGAAAAGAACGCAGAATGCTTTGGTAGAGATTAGGAAGATTCAAGTGGCGAGCTGTGCCTCGTAATTTACGATCGGTTGAACCTTGCATATCTCTTCTTCGGCGCGTATTTTCGCCGATTTCGAGAACGTTCCAAAGAAGCTACAGGCCTTATACCCATCCACTCGAAGATTTGCGCTGCATGACTACCTTCGAACGCACCGTAAGTCGCCTCAGGGGCGCCTCTGGAGTGCCAAGGACGAAACCTTTGACCGCAACGGAAATTTCTATTCCTCTTTTATATAAGCTAGGAAATCAGATTAACAGTAGAGAAAAATATCGCGTGGACTACTGTTTAGATTAAAAAAAAAAGAAAAGAAACCACCATATCGAATTGAGTAACCTCCTCCTGTTCGAAGTTGGTTAAAAATCTACGCCATTTGTTAGTGGGATCGACAGGTCCGTGGCTCGATCACGGAGATCTATAGCAGTGATGGGCAAAAACCCTATGCTTCGAATAAATCTGAAGCTCGCCGAACCATGGTTCTTTCATTTTTACATTTTAACAGAAACCGTTTCGTCTGTTAATTGCTATGCGTTTGTATCATTTTCTTCTTGGAAAATGTTCAAAAGAGGACACGAGACAAATATACCGGCAAGCACCTCTCTTAATCTGGCAGGACCAAGACTGCAGAATCAAGTTTAAGTTTATCGGACTTAGTGGAATATTTAGTACTTATATTGTACTAATTTGTACCGCCAAAAGAAATTTTATACCTCGTACTCATATCGGACTTAGTGAAATATTTACTACTTATTTTGTACTAATTTGTACCGCCAACAGTAATCTTGTACCTCGTGCCGTTTACGAAAAAATCGTGGCGCTGCTAGCTTAACATTAATATTACGATATTCTTGAAAACGGTAACAGGTACAAAATTTCTTTTGGCGGTACAAATTAGTACAAATTCAGTACTAAATGTATCCGCTTCGATTTTTTCATTTATATTAATTTTTAACATTTTCAGCCGCTAGCGTAACGTTGAACTAACAGCGCCGCGATTTTTTTCAAAAACAGTACGAGGTACAAAATTTCTTTCGGCGGTACAAATTAGTACAATATAAGTACTAAATATTCCACTAAGTCCGATAAACTTGAACTTGATTCTGCAGTCTTGGTCCTGCCAGATTAAGATAGGTGCTTGCCGATATGTTTGTCTGGTTTCCTCTTTTGAACATTTTCCAAGAAGAAAATGATACAAACACATTAGCGATTAACAGACGAAACGCTTTCTGTTAAAATATCGAAATAGAAGAACCATGAATGACGGAATCGTCGAATGCAGAGAGCGCACGTAGCGTAGTACGATGATAACGTAAGAAACGAGCAGCGGTGTAAAATATGCGATCGATTTGCATGGTGCTTACCCGAGCCACGTATCTCGCCGATTCGTGTCAATAATTATGTTAATAGGGTACTGCTAATGGAGTGGATTTTCAATCGCAAAAGGAACGCGTCTAGACGATCGTGCAAAACGTTTCTACCGTTGACATTTACGCGAATCATTATAAGAGAGCGCGTCATTCCTCGAATAGCAGGTAGAGCATGCCGTGAAAAGCAGAGAGTGCACCCGCGACGAGGGGCGTTAGCATGTTCATGTACAGTGCGCGTCAAACAAACGTGTCCACCTAGTATTTCTCCTTAAAACTTCATTTACCGTGAGCCTGTTTATAGGCTTTTTAATTGCAATATTTAGTTACTCGAATTTATTTACTGTGTTGATAATTGTCTACTTACAATGTTCAGTGTTTGGTAACAGACTTGACTTCCAATGTACTTAATAACAGTATGGAGGAATTATTGCCAGCCTAGATTGGCATATGCTACTGTAGAAAATTCTTTTTTAATTAAAGACTGTTTCTAAATGCCCGGTAGATAAAGTGTTAAGTTTCCCTATTTCTTCCTTTACTACATTGAAAAATATTTACTTTTAGACCCTTACGTAAATTATCCTCTAACGTGGAATTTCTATTTTATAATACAAAGGGAGTTCCGATAGAAAACCTAAGAAGGTACTACATTTGAAAAAGATCCAGTTCTACTATTTATTAAGTTTCCTTACTTCTTTCTTTACTACATTGAAAAATATTTACCCTTAAAGCCTGACGTAAAATTCCAATAGAAAACCTAAGAAGGTACTACATTTAAAAAAGATCCAGTTCTACTATCTATTAAGTTTCTTTACTTCTTCCTTTACTCCATTGAAAAATATTTACCTCTAAAGCCTGACGTAAAATTCCAATAGAAAACCTAAGAAGGTACTACATTTAAAAAAGATCCAGTTCTACTATTTATTAAGTTTCCTTACTTCTTTCTTTACTCCATTGAAAAATATTTACCTCTAAAACCTGACGTAAAATTCCAATAGAAAACCTAAGAAGGTACTACATTTAAAAAAGATCCAGTTCTACTATCTATTAAGTTTCTTTACTTCTTCCTTTACTCCATTGAAAAA